AATACTTATTTTCCACCATAATTTGCAAATAAATTTGTTCCAAATCAGCCAATGTGATTTGTCTGGATTTGTTTTCTCATTTTGTCTCTCATAGTTGAGGTCTACCTATGATGCCAATTACAGGCCTCTCATCTTTTTAAGTGGGAGAACTTGCACAATTGGTGGCTGACTAAATACTTTTTTGCCCAACTGTAGATATGTCATGTATTTGTTCCTGTTCAATGAATAATAATTAGGGATGCACCGAAATGAAATTTTGAGACTGAAATTGAAAATAAAAAAATTGTCAGGCTGAAACCGAAAATGGCGGGGGGTATTTTTCAACCTTTTTAAAATTTGTAAAATTATTTTATTCTTTTTTTTTTTTTTTACCTTTACTGCTGGGGGATCTAGGGAAATGTCAGGAGTCTAAACAGACCGCTGATATTTCTCTTTTAAAATAGAAAAAGAGATTGAGGGCACAGAGTCCTCAATCTTTTTCTGCAGTCCCTGTTATAAGTGAACAGGAGGTCTCTTTACTGAGTGTTCCTGTCCATTCATACATTGTGGATATAGTATAAGTCACTATGTCCACAATCATGAAAGAACAGGAAGTGATTTAGATCACTTCCCATGCATCCATAACTGGGACATAGTAAACACACTGTTCAGTTATTTATAAACACTCACCCATGAGCTGATCGGTGAGTGTTTGTACACCGCTCTCCATCCTGGGCTGGAGGGTGAGGCGGGCAGTGGGGGAGGAGAGCTCTGCCTCCTGTGGCAGATCACAGTGCTCTCCAATCACTGCTCTCCCTCCTAACACAGGAAGCGGAGCCAGGAGGTGCAAGAGGAGAGCTCCGCCTCCTGTACGGTAACAGCTGTCACTGCTCGGCATCCTGACTGCTGTCACCGCCGCTCTGCCTCTTGAAAGCTTCTCTCCTAACTGCTGAACGTGAGCCGCAGCATCAGAAGGCACACAGATCGGCTCCCAGCAGGGAGGAGAGAAGCTAGGGATGCACTGAATTTTTGGCCATCATGGCACTTTCGGCAATTTTGTCAAAAGTGTAATTTTTGGGCGAAATTTCGGTGCATCCCTAATAATAATGTTATGTTTAATTTTTATTTAGAAAGAGTTAGAAGTGTTAACGTGACACTAAACTCAGGAGTTAAATCTTAAAAATGCCTTCAAGTACCCTAACGATTAACAAAAATGTAGCTTATTTGTGCATCACTCAGCTGTAGATCCTGAAATCATCTCTGAATTTGCTGAACGTGAGCCGCAGCATCAGAAGGCACACAGATCGGCTCCCAGCAGGGAGGAGAGAAGCTAGGGATGCACTGAATTTTTGGCCATCATGGCACTTTCGGCAATTTTGTCAAAAGTGTAATTTTTGGGCGAAATTTCGGTGCATCCCTAATAATAATGTTATGTTTAATTTTTATTTAGAAAGAGTTAGAAGTGTTAACGTGACACTAAACTCAGGAGTTAAATCTTAAAAATGCCTTCAAGTACCCTAACGATTAACAAAAATGTAGCTTATTTGTGCATCACTCAGCTGTAGATCCTGAAATCATCTCTGAATTGGTGCTGACACTGTTCTTCCTTCTGGAGGGTGGCTATTTTCATTTCCTATTGGTCCCTATGTGTATTGTAAAGTAGCCACCACTCTTTTCTCCCGTGATGGACTACAATCTCACGTTTACTCATTTCTATTGAGATTGTAGTCCACCACAGGATCTTAAAAATGCCTTCAAGTACCCTAACGATTAACAAAAATGTAGCTTATTTGTGCATCACTCAGCTGTAGATCCTGAAATCATCTCTGAATTGGTGCTGACACTGTTCTTCCTTCTGGAGGGTGGCTATTTTCATTTCCTATTGGTCCCTATGTGTATTGTAAAGTAGCCACCACTCTTTTCTCCCGTGATGGACTACAATCTCACGTTTACTCATTTCTATTGAGATTGTAGTCCACCACAGGAGCACGCTTGGTGCAGTGGCTACTTTACAACACACACAAGGACCATAGGGAACAAAAGCAGCCACCCTTTGAGGATCTACAGCTGAGTGATACACAAACAAGCTACATTTGTGTTAATAGTTAAGGTACTTGAATGCATTTTAAAGGTTTGATTTCTGAGTTTCGTGTCTCTTTAATGCAGGGGTCTCAAACCTCCGGCCCTCCAGCTGTGGTGGAACTACAAATCCCATGAGGCATTGCAAGATTCTCACAGCCACAGACATGACTGCTGAAGAGAGATGCATCATGGGATTTGTAGTTTCACCACAGCTGGAGGGCCGGAGGATTGAGACCCCTGCTTTAATATATCCACTGGCATGACTCTTGATTACATTTACATAGCATGCAGTGGGTGTTAGTGGACAGGCCCTCCTCCCTCTCCCAGGTCAGTGCCTGTATTACTACTCTGCTGCCAGACAATTTGTGAACAGAAACTGTGAAAATTAAAGAATTAACTTTCAAGAAAGAAAGGCTAGTTCAGCTATATTATGTGCCATTTTCTTGATGTTTACAGTTTGGCTTTAAGGTGCATACATACTGTAATATTAACACACAAGATCAGGCCTTGCTGAAATGCAAGTATTTCCTCCATGCATATGGCAAAACAACTCCAGTCATTACCTTATTAACAATTGGATGTCTTCAGGGAGGATCGAAAAATCTGGCTGTTACACGATTAAATCTGTCTCGGGTTGTGGGCATCTTTTAGCTTCTGTATTCAAAGCTAAATCATAGATGCCTACATATGCTATACTTTTCCTTCTGTCAAATTCAGGTACTTGGTTGGATTTAAAAAAATAAATAAATACATTTAATGTTGTATGAATCTATACAGAGCTGCATTAATATGTGTATTTTATAACTGCCTGGAACTCTGCTTTTTCTTTTCTATATTTATAGATGTTTTTTTTTCTTTTCAGTCTTCCATAGTATTCCCACATGATTTTGAGAAACCAGAGACAGAGAAGCAGGTAAGGCATTTTTTCCAGAACTAAATGACTGAAACCTGTCAGTTATTTTAATAGCCCCAGGTGGCCCTAGAGAACATAACACAGACGTTCTGTTTTATAGAGAAAAGTTATCACTTGGCTCTTGAACCATGATCCTGCATCTCGTCCTACGGCTATGGAACTCTTGAAATGTGACCTTCTGCCACCACCTCAGCTTGAAGAGTCTGAACTTCACGAGGTGCTTCACCATACCTTGGCCAATATAGACGGAAAGGCCTACCGCACAATGATCAGTCAAATTTTTGCCCAGCGCATATCACCTGCAATGGACTACACCTATGACAGTGATCTATTTAAGGTATGCTTTTTTTCCTTAAAGTGAACCTGTACGCCATTTCAAACTCTTGGTGGTCCTCCCTATGAGCAATTCCCAAAAACTATCTGTGGCGGTAGCGGCTGGTGTGAACCCACTGTATGTCAACAGCACGCGACTATACACAGTTCCGTGTAGTCAAGAACCAGCTGCACTCCTTACCGGAATAGTAGTAAACCTGCCAAGCAGGTGGGTGCTTGTAGTGACCACGGACGGCCCCGTGAACAATGCAGATCTAGAAAGGATTGTCACCAGTACACCAAAAGTTTTGAAGCAAAAAGTCCTTTATTGACAAATCGCCATCCAATACGTCCAATATCCAAAAAGGTTGGATGGCGATTTGTCAATAAAGGACTTTTTGCTTCAAAACTTTTGGTGTGCTGGTGACAATCCTTTCTAGATATACACAGTTCCGATCCCACCGTGTTGTCACTGTGATATGGCGATACCCCTCTCAGCCTCGCCCTGCACAAGGATCTCTCAGCTTGCGGGACAACAATCTAGGGCCATTTGAGCAATTGTCCCTGGGGTTTGGGTAATTCCGCTTTTAACCCTTTACACCAAATAGCTGCCACCACGTGTTTTAACAGAGACGCGCACCATTCCCAGCAAATGCTGTGACAATTTGAAACTTAAACAATGCCTGTGCTGCTAATGTCCCTTCAGACAGGAATATGGCAGTTTTTTTAATACTCTAGCACTCTTCACAGAGACAAGGGTACGTTAAGTTCTTATTTAGAGCATAGAGATAAGCTTAGCGATTTAAGATAATTTTTAATAAAAGAAACTGTGCAGGGAAAATGTATAGAAAAAGAGGTTATAAAAGAGAGACCGTAAAAAGGAAATAAATTTGAGTTTTAGCAGAGTCCAGTTCAATGCAACAGAAGATAGATCTGGATGGTTCTTTTTCAAATTAAGGATTGCAAATGTTCCTTCTTGATGTTAAAGGGGAACTCTTTGATAGTACACAATCTTCTTTTGATGTTACAAGAGCTTCGTAGCTGCCTTCTGCAGCAGCTTTTTGTGGGCTCTCAAGGGGGTGTCACTGAGCCGGCCCCTTGCTCAGTGAGGAAGAATCGGGGAGGGTGAGCAGGAGCGCTGTGCACTTTATGACCTTCTCCTCTGCCCTTCCCAAACTGTCAATTTCATACCAAAAAACATATTTCTATAGTTTCACATATTGCCATTTGAATCAGAGATTATTATGCAATATGAAATTAGCCTTGTTTTGATACGGAACTTGATGTTCCTGTGAATTGTATTTGGCTCAGAAGGGTTAATGTGTGTTTTTAGGCCTTTGGACCTCCTAAACCAATCATGTTGTCAGTCAAAGTACCGCAGCGCTGAATACTGAAAAATGGCCTGGATGGGAAGGGGGTTTAACTCCGCGGATGTCAACTGGTTAATATGTTTGGATCTCATTTGAAAGTGTGCAGCTATATATACTGTACACGGTTAATTTTAATGTACCATCCCCAGATTCCGTTATGAATAGGGATGCACCAATACTAGTAGCAGTATCGGTGCTGATACTGAGTATTTGGGCAAGTACTCGTACTCGACCAAATACTCCGATATTTACCTCCAATACGGGAACTTCCGGACAGAGGGACATCTCCCTCTGATTGGCAGTGCCGTGGGAGCATGGGGGCAGACTTCCTTTCCAATCAGGAAGCCGGGCGGTTGGTTATGATCCGCCTCCCGGCCTCCTGATTGGTCTGGAAGCCAGGCTGCCTAGCAACAAGTGAAGCCGGCTTCCGGCCAACCTGGAAGCCGGATGGCACCTCATGACTTGCAGCCCGATCTCCTGATTGGTCAGGAATCCAGGCAGCCTCTGCAAGTGAAGCTGGTGTTCTTTTGATAGAACACTGGTTTCCCAGGCAATCAAGAAACCGGGGAACATGTCATTATCTACCGCCCGACTTCCTGATAATCGGGGCACCAGTATCAGTACTCTGTACCGGCGAGTCCCGAAAAAAAAAATATCAGTACTCGATACCGAAAAACTGGTATCGGTGCATTCCTAGTTATGAATATTGAGTTGGATTGGAATTTAAGTGTGAGTATCTGAATGAGTATCAAGGCATTCCTTTGTTATCAGACCAGGCCATCTTTAGGGAATTAACTGAACTGTCCAGGGACAATTACTTTTTATTTCACATTAGTAGTTTAGGATACACTGCCATAAACGACCATTAGTGCTAATTAATACCAGGCACAAGGAGAGCCTAAATAAACAAATCAGGTCTTAGTGCATTATTGTAAGGGCTATAAAAATTAAAGGGGCCAGATAAGCATGTATCTGGTACTACAATTTGAAGGTGGCCTAAATTAAATTATGGACAGCCTGATGTAATTCAAATTAGAAGTGATGCATTTTAGCAATATGGGGGAAAGATAGAATTTCCTAATTACTATTAGGGTGGCCAGAACTTATTATTATGACAGTATCGGGGGTATGGACATTTTTAAAAAAACTACTTGTCCAAGGACTAAAGCGGGGGCCTGATCTACTTGTCCCTCATGAAAATCTACTTGTCCTGATACAAAAAAATGCATTTATTTTTTTACCATAACCGTATTTAGCAATGCCAAGAAGAGCTTCTCGTTGGTCAGTGCCGTCAAATGACTGTGCTGACTAACGAGTGCTTGAATTTTGAGAGCGAAATTCAGATTACAATGGCACAGGCACAGATAGTACACCCATACTGGCGGATAGGAAGGACCGTTCCCTGAAAGGTAAGTATAGCGGGGAGGATGGTGTCTGGACCAGATTTGTGTGGGTAATTCCAGTTTTCCAAATTTCTTGGGAAAGTGTATTTACAGTTTGGGGCGGGTGCAGAATTGGGCGAGGCCGTCAACGGTTAGCTCGTGGCCTCATTGATTTCAATGGGGTTACATCTGCGTGGTAATCTCTGAATGTTTTCAATCGCGATTATATGCAATTGCACGGGTGTTATTGCGGCGGGAAACTGCCCAATCTGCCTTGTGCGACTGGGGTGCCATTAGACAATAATAGCACTGCCAGCTTGATCGGCGGGGGTGTGCGATTCTGTGACCGCCCGGCCATCCGCCCGGTTTTGTGCACGATTGCCATGTGGTAACGGATCGCCCACTCCACTCACACAATGCACCATGCATGCGTTTAATCGCATGCAGATGATAGGGATTGGTTTTAATTTTTTTAGATTTTATTTTACTTTTTTTTTGCTTTGTAATATTTTTTATCATTTATTTTTATTTTTTACTTTATCGCCTTTTTTTCTTCTATTTTTATGTATTTTTATTATTTTTACCAATTTTATGTTTACATTTTTAAGTGTTATATTTTCTTTTTTACTTTTTTTTTTTTACTTGACTTTATTGCTATCACACAAGGGTAACAAGTCCTTGTGTGATAGCTTTTGGAGGTGACAGGTTCTCTTTATTGACCCTGTTACCTCCAACACAGGAGTTCTAGCACAGCACTGCTGCATTCCTGTGCCACTGCAAACATGGAGCAGAGTAGAGAACCGTTCTCTGCCTTGCTCCGTGCTCTGGAACCTAATTTGCCGTGGTCATCAATCCCCCCCACAAGAGGGGGGGACCCCAAAGACTACGGCAAAAAGGAAGCCTAGGCCAGCCGCTGGAGATAGAGAGGGGAGGGGGGAGGAGAGTAGGGGGGAGGGGGAGCGTGATTCAGGCAGGTTACGAGTGATTTTTGGACGGCTGTATAGCCGATTAAAATCACACGTATAAAACGGCTCCCACACTACATTTAGCCGTGCTGCTTGCCCGCAGTCGGGCTAAATGTAGAAAAAAAACTACTCGCCCGGCGCCCGAAACTGCCTGTCCCGGGCGTCGGGCGATAGGAATTCCACACCCCTGAGTATCTATTACCATTACAAGCTAGAGAACCCTCCTGTCATTTTCTGAATAATTTTCATTTTGTTTCTAGGGGCTTGGCTTCATGGCTTAGTACTGCCCAGCTGCATCCAGCCCAGTAGAATACCCTTAAAGTGAACCCTTGCTTTGCCCACTTAGGGCAAAGATACAGGTTTAAAGGAGAACTATGAGGTGAGTGATTTTCACTCATCCTCATAGTTCTAGCCGACCTGTGACAATGAAACTGTCACAGGTCGGCTCAGTAGATCGGGAAGTGAGTGAACACATACCAGCGTTCGCTCACTTCTCGATCCTGTCACTGCAGAGAGCTGTGACAGGGGAGTTACTGGATTCCCCCCTCCCCTGTCCGATCCTCCAGCGCTGACTGGCGGAACGGACGGGGGAGGGGGCGGGTACAGCTGGCTCTGCCTCTAGATAGGCAGGGCCAGCTGTCACTCAAGCAGCTGGGTGGATCCAGACATAATTGTCAGGATCCGTTTCAGCTGCGGCGTCTCGCGGTATACTGAGCTTTTGGTGACGGGAGGACACTAGTTTGTGTCCTCCCGTTACCCTTAGAACTATGGGGAAAAGCCCTAACCCTATAGTTCTCCTTTAAGATAACTTAAGCTCACAGTTCCTGCTTATTGGCTAACTGTAGCTGTAACTGTAGCAGGGGACGTGTTGAATCACTGCAGAGACTGCAGCTCTATAAAGCATACTGTGGCAGCTGTACAAAGTCAGCATACATTAAGCTAATTACCACCTATTATTTTGAGCTCCCTAAAGTAATTTTTAAAATATTTTTTGGTAAACTACAATCAAGGTTTAAAAGTGATTCTTGTTTGAGAAGAGTGTACCTTTGTGTGTTTCAAAGGCAACATTTTCATAAATCTGTTTATCTGTTATCTTATCTGTTTGATTTCTGTTCTTAGCAGGCATCTTCAAGCTTCTCTCTCAATTTTAGCAACTGGAAACTCTGACTGTCCTAATAGAACGAATAAGGACAGCCTGAGCCCCCCCCTCCCCGTTAACATACAATGCTTCTAGATCTTTAACCCTTTGTTAGGGTAGACAGGGGTTAAATGTAGTTTACATCTATTAATGTGATCGGACAGCACAGTACAGACGGCCTTAATTATAATGATTAGTCTTCCCCACCCCCTTGCATTCCAGAGGTAAATTCAGTGCAGAGAAAAACATTCAAGCGTGTTTGGTGCAAGCAGCATTTACATTTTTGTTTTTGTTTTGCTGTGTGATTGGTGAATGAGAAACATGTAACAAATATAAAATAGATGTTGTCCCAATTTAGCTGCAACAGTGGAAATACACTTTAAACCTTCTTGTCTTTAACATATTTGAATCTTCCTCTCTATTTTTCAGGGTGGTTTCTCTGCCCGTTCAGCTAGAGTCCATCATCATGTGTGTGAGACGGTCTGTCGAGTGTTTAAAAGACACGGTAAGTTTCAAGCAAGGGTCAATCAGCATTCAGTCTTCCGGAGCAAGAGGTTTCCAGTGTATCTACAGGTTGAAAAACTTTAAGTTCCTGTGTCATTAGCCATATAGTGTAACGGTCCCTTTTATACATTTGTCTGTCCATGGACAAAGGAACTGATCTAATAGCACTGTATGTGCTGGCCTTTAGTGTAAAGAAGCAAGCTGAAAACTGTTTTAAAGTATCATGACCCCTATGGTCAAGGAAATCTTCTGCACACAATAGTTTGTTTAAATATTGTTATCCTGACAGGATATGGAAAGGGAAGTTGTCATTGCTGACTTGTGTAAGGTGCAGGCTCTGGGGCTGTCATCCAGATCCTTGCTTCACTTCTGATCTGGAAAAAACTTGTTGCCAGAGAAATGTTGGGACTCCTGATATGCACGTATTTGCTTTGGCTCAGTAACATGCCAAATAGAGAAGGAAGTATAAAATCTACAGCTTGCACGTTCAAAAACTAGTTGCCAACGGCTGCTTCCTGTGTCCTTGTTGGTGTGATACTGTCACTTGTGTACTGTGACCACGCAGTAAGTTAGGAGAAATGTAGGGACACAAACAGCAAAAAGAACTGACAGATGTTTACAAAGGAAAAAAAAGTAAAGGTTTTATAAAGCATGCTACTGTGCTGCTGTCACTGTGATCCAGGTGTTTTCTGCTGTTTTCTTATTAGGAGCAGTAAAGCTGCATACACCTTTGTTAATGCCTCGGAGCAAAATGGTGTCTGAAAGTGGTGAATCAGCCTGTTTTATGGACCATAGTGGCATGCTAGTAACACTTCCGTATAATCTCAGGGTAAGTGTTATAGATGTTGATACAGTAAACTGATCTATAACTTGATGTTTTATATTGCCTTAAACACGTAAAATAGAAAAAGTGCTTTAACCCTGTGCCGTCTGCCCATTGTAAAAATATGGGCGGACGGCAGATGCTTCCCGGCAGGTGGATGTACATGTACGTGATTTTTTTTTTTTTCTGCGTGCACCCCCCAGCCGATCGCTTGTATGACCATGCACAGTGCGGGCCCCCCCCCTCTGCTGCTGGTTATCCTGGGCACTGCTGTCCCCCATGCAGGCCTAGGACTGAGAACACCTGCACATCGGCTACTAGTACCGAGAAGGAGGAGAGATCAGCATTCCCCCACCGCTGATCTCTTCTCCTCTCTCTCTCTAAAGGCGGAAGCGATGTATATTACATAACTTCCACCTTTTAGCTTACATTTCTCTGGCTGCTATAGCCAGAGAAGCAGCTGGTGAAGCAGATCTCTGCTTCATCGGCTTCTTTGGGGGTTCCAAGGTGACATTAGGGGTCTTAGAGACTCCTTATGTCTCCATGAAGAGGACCTGTCATTGTTTTTTGGCTATCACATGGTCTTTTTAGCCCCCTATGTGACAGCAATCAAGTTAAAGTGACATTAAACCCTCAGATTTTTTTTACATAAACCAATACTGTAATGTGTGCCTTACTGTAATCCATGGTAGTTTCCCTTCTCTTTGCTGCTCTTCCTTTTAAATCATCATGTCTTCTCATGCTTGGGGAGAACTTCCCTTTGCAGCTGAGTGCCTCTTCCTGTAGTGCTGGCTCAGGTTGTAGAGCAGCAAAGAGAGGGGAAACAACCATGGATTACAGTAAGGCACACATTACAGTATTGTTTTATGTTAAAAAATCTGAGGGTTTAATGTCCCTTTTAAGTGTAAAAAAAAAAAGTCTTATTAAAAAATAAAAAACAAACAAAAAAAAGAGGATAGAGAAAGGTGGGGTTTTTAAGTGGCTCCAGAGGGGACACAACCACTAAACTTCAGTCTTATAAAAATATATGTAAAAAAGTATAAATTTATTACACAATTGACTAAAAACAATGGATATGCATCAAAGCATGTATAAAACATATACACAACAGGGATTGACAAAAAACCTCCTATCAGCCCTTATGCTCCACAACCAAGGTTGGTCTATGTACTCCTAATCTTATACATATAACGAGAACATCACGTGTAGATCAAAAGAGAGGATGTAGTTGAATTACTAAACCTCAGGTGGGAGCAACAATCTTAAAGGTGTGATAATTTCTTGGAAGGTAAATCTCGACGCGTTTCGCACCTAAGGCGCTTCCTCAGGAGGAGAGGGAGGTAATCTAGGAGTCATATAGAAAATAAAATGTAAATAATACGCTCAAAGCAAGACATTTTATGTGTCCATATCAAATTTAGATTTTTATGATCTATCATAAAAATCAAATTTAGATTTTTATGATAGATCTATCATAAAAATCTAAATTTGTACATGCTTTGAAGCTCGACATGTTTGGTGCCTTTTTATTCGACGTGACCCCATCTATATTTTACCCAAAAATTGGGTGCTGATAAATGTTTTATAACATAAAGTAGGGAAAACAGATTTTCTTTTTCAGGTTTTCTTTTTCGATGAAATACCACTAAAAGAAAGCTCTGTCTGTCCCTAAAAAATGGTATAAAATTAATTTCAGTACAGCGTTGCATGACGGAATAAATGTCAAAGTACCGCAGCGCCGAATACTGAAAAATGGCCTGGACAGGAAGGGGGTTTACCACCCCGGTCAGCAATTGGTTAAAGAAGAACTCCGGGAAAAATTACTAACTCTCGTACTGCAAGGATAAAGTGCTCATTTTGGTCTACTACTTTGGTCACTACTTCAGTCACCCTCTTACTCTATCCTACACTCTTACTCACATTTTCAATCTCACTCTCTACTGGCATCTTTCCCTCCCCTCTAAAGCATGCCCTGGTCACCCCAATATCCAAAAAAAAATGAATGGACCCTACCGACCTCAACAATCTCAGACCAATCTCCTTACTCCCATTCACCTCCAAACTCCTAGAACGCCTTATCTACAGCTGCCTGAGCCGCCACCTCGCTGATAATCCCTTACAGCCCGTCTTTCGCCCCCACTGAAACCGCCCTCCTAAAACTCACTAATGACTTACTAACAGCGAAACACAATTGCCACTATTCCTTACTCTTGCTATTAGACCTATCTGCTGCTTTTGACACTCTGGACCACCTGCTCCTCCTCCAAAAACTCCACTCGCTTGGCCTACAAGACTCTGCTCTCTCATAGTTCTCCTCCTACATATCTAAGCGCTCCTTTACTTACCAAAAATGTTATGAGGTCAAACCTAAACAAAAATAGAAAAGCCATTCCCTCCGGAGCCAGCTGACAGGATGATAAAATAAGTTGAGGAAGGAATCCAAGTACCAGAAGTACAGCTTCTGGTACTTTATATACAGGGGTACGGGTACTCCTAGAATGAGATCCTAATAGGTTGGACTTGATGGACTAATGTCTTTATTCAACCTCAAATACTATGTAACTATGTAACTATGTAACAGCTAAGCACCACAGATAGAATGAAACTTCTCTTCAGTATTATGCATGGCAGAAGTAAGTTCCTCCATATGGTAAATGTCATTCATTTTTTAAAACCAGAGGTGTAAAGTAGGAGGAGAAGCCTGCCTCCACAGCGCCGGGATACAAGTCTTGGCAGCAAGAGAGTAAGTGGATTGAGAGATAATTTTTATATTTGGCAATAGAGCTATCCGTCATATGTAAAAGGTAGGTGGCCAGGTTGCAGCCCAGATCGTTCATAACAAGGTGTTCAATAGCAGCTCGAACGGATTCGCAGAAAGGGTGAAGTTTAGTGCAGTCCCCACCTCCAAATTACATCTCCAACAAACTGAAGGCACTAAAGGATTGAACTTATGTAGGAGGGCAAGAACTCTGTACCACTCGGGACAAAAGTATCGAAAACGTTGCCAACGTTTTCAATCGTCGATTTTAATCGACTAAATCGATTAACTGTTGCAGCTCTAAACTGGTGGCTAATATAATGCAAAAGGGGGACAAAATTAGAATCGTAGAGGCTAGCAACATCAGGCGTAATCACGGTGCCAAGGTACTTAATGTGAGATGTGGCCCATTGAAAGGGAAAGTGTGTCTTAAGCAAAGAGACATCCGATGCCGGCAAGGTGACTGCCAACGCAGCAGATTTAGTGAGGTTAATCTGGAAATTTGATAATCGTCCATATTCCTCAAATTCGCGGAGAAGGTGCACAAGGATCCGAAAGAAAGAACAGAAGATCCTCTGCAAAAGAGGCTACTTTATGTTCCCCAGAAGTTATAGCAAACCCAACAATGGCATGGTTGGCCCTAATGGTACACTGTAGAGGTCCAGTGTAAGTACAAAAAGGGAGAGGGGGCAGTGCTGCTGCGTACCATTGGATAGTTTGGTTTCGTTCACATTCACCGCCTCAGTAGGGTGGAAGTACAGTGCAGCGATTCAACGATGCATATTTGTTCCCAGGCCTATATGCTCCAAAACGGCATGCAGAAAAGGCCAGTGAACACTATCAAAGGCCTTCTCCGCATTTCTGGACAGGAGCATCAGTGGAGCCCCACGTGAGCAGACGCAATGCTAGGGGTTAAGAACCCTAGTGGTGCTATCTTGGGCCGCACGTGTGGGGATGAAGCCCACCTGGTCAAAGTGAACAAGCCCCTGAAGGTGGGGAAGTAAGTGGTTAGCCAAGATCTTGGAGAAAAATTTTAGGTCCACATTGAGAAGCGCAATCGGTCGGTAACTCCCAAATTGAGAAGGGTCCTTGTGTAGCTTCAGGATAAGTGTACTATGAGAATGAAGGAAATCTTGAATATCAACAGTCAAGATAGTGACCCTACTGGGGATGCATTACCAGTAAACACGAGATCTAGGCAGACACATGGAGATGCACCCCAGCAAATGAACAGTGATGAATAAAATGGCAACAAACAAAAAAAAAAAAACCTGCTCCCCCAGAACGTGGAGTCCCCGAGGCTCCCAGGCCCCGAGGCCGACACCAGAAACAAGTCCACTCCCCATACCTAGAACCCAGGAAGGCAGAGAGCACTGCAGGGAGCCCAAAAAGAGGCATACATTCACAAACACCACCTTTAGAAGTGCAAAGGTGGTTGCTACCGAAACTAGACACCAAAATACCGTGGGTAGATAGTCTCAGCTTGGGCAGACTCCTGCTGCAGAGCGTTCACATGGAATCCAGGTCCTTGTTAGTGGAAAGCTGCACCTTGTTGCAAACCATGTGGGGACCCTGTTCGGATCCAGAATGGGAGAAGTACCGAAGGAAGTCTGGCTGCCGGTGCTCCCTAGATGTCCGCAAGGACTCCCGCTCCTTCGGCATGCAGGTAGAGAGATACAAAAAGTCACTAAAACCACCACTGGTGTCTGAGAGGGGCAGAGCTCCTTAGGTAAGCGTCTTCATGCCGCCATGCCAATGCCACGCCTCCCACCAGCATTCTCACAGCGAATGCCCTTTGCTAAGAATAACAAAGCAACAAACCAAGGGTGGGCAGTCAGGCATAACCAATAGAAGCATCCAGAACAGTACTTTCATCAGTTTCATACACTCTGAAGAATGAAAGTTGGTTGCCGATTAGTTGCCATGGGCTACTGAACTTTGCACATTACTTTCTTATTGCTACAAGACCTGTTGAAACATATCTAAAACGAAAAAAAAAATCATAATACTCTGCAGCTTATTAGTCATTTCAGCAAGTACAGAAAATACCTGTCCATATTGTCAGAAATGGACTATCCTTGTCACCTCCTGGGAGCTTACAAGGAAGAACCTTCTCTTTATGATGTAAAGTACTAGTCCAAATAATCCATAATGTAATGGAAATTAACAAACGCATACATATTTGAAGTCCAGGTAACCATGGCTCTCTATTAATACAATAAAGAAAAAAAGTGTAGACACAAAGGGACAGGCAGTGTGTTATTTGTAGGATTGCCAGGTGAAAATAAAATAAAAAATCTTGAAAATAGACTAATGCAGCCACCACATCTAAGGACTGAGCTGCCTCTCTCCCCCTCTGCTGCAGTGATCTAAGGTCCTGTAAATCGTCGCGTTCTATACACTGTGTATAGATGTGAGGATGCTGAGGAACATTCCAGTGCCGCAGCATAGGAGGAGACAGGCTTCAGTGAATGGAGAAGCAGGGAGCCGGCTGTTCAGGTGAGTATAACTTTTTTTTTAGCACCTAGACAAAAATGAGCAATAAATCTTTGCAGTTTAAGGGTAGCCCCACTGCAAGGGTTATTAAAAGTTTTGCTTAGAGTTCTTTAATATCTAAATTTTATGTCTGTAACTAATGGTACTCTTTCCTTTCTTTTAGATTCCTTTTGCACGATATGTTGCAAGAAATAATGTAACTAACTTTAAAAGGTAACATAACATTAAAAAATATTTTAGGTGATTTTAAGTAAATGACCTAAACTTCAGTATGTATGTGTGGACACAATGGAGGCAGCCTTTTTACAAGTTGCACCAGCAATAGTGAACTAAGCTCCAACTGATGTATCCCACATTAGACCACCTTCCTAATTGAACCTATTTAGGGATGATCCACATAGTATAAAGATTGTTCAATGCATGGGGTAATAGAATTTTTCTATTTACCGTAAAATTGAGGGACAGAGGAAGTCTTTAATCCTCAAGTTATACTGATGCCCACAGACAGATTGGTCACTGGCAAACAAAAAACTGTAGGTCTGCCTTGGATAACCCCCCCCCCCCCAGACCATCATGCCTTAGTTTTGTTGTAAAGCAGTATTGAAAGCATGATCATAAACACACAGGGGGCCAGACGTGTTCCTCAATGGACTGCAAGAAACGGATTTTACAGCGAGTTAAAAGAAAAATGTTTTTCTTTTGTTTATTGAGCGAAATAGGGTGTGTTTTAACCATTGAGACGTCCAAAAGCAGTTCAGCTAATGGTTGGATAACAGCAAACAAATGCCAAAAGGCCCAAGAAAACAACAAAGAACTGGGGATTGCTTTCCGCTCAGAGAACCACCTAAAGGACCTTACACTCAAAGATGACATCAGATAAGGCTGCAACATCCATTTGGTAGAACTCGGAGAACATGTGAACAGAAGACCAGGTGGTAACCTTGCAAATTTGGGAAATATACCACAGTGGTTGACAAGCCAGGGTTCAACATAGACTTGAAAAACTTAATGCAAATAAAGCATTAGGACCAGATAACCTGCACTTAGGGTACTTAAAGAACTCAGCCAGGTTATAGCGAGACCATTATTCCTCATTTTTAAGGACTCAATGACTGGTAGAGTACCAAGTGGCTGGCGGAAGGCTACGGTAGTACCAATATTCAATACCAATATTCAAAAAGGGGTCAAGATGCCAACCTGCCAGACCAGTTAGTCTTACATCCATAGTATGCAAACTCTTAGGGGGAATGATTAAGGACCACTTAGTAGAGTTTGTTCAGGATAATGGCATAGTAAATGATAACCAGCATGGATTTAGGGAGGACCGTTCCTGCCAGACCAGCCTACTAACATTTTACGAAGGGGTAAGTAAAGATCTGGATGGAGGGAGGCCGGTTGATGTAGTATATCTGGATTTTTCAAAAGCATTTGACACAGTACCACATAAACGCTTGCTACACAAGCTGAGGTCTATGGGCATTGATGAAATGGTGTGGATAGAGAACTGGCTACAGGAGAGAATGAGAGTATCGATAAATGGCACCTTTTCAGATTGGTCTAGGGTCATGAGTGGTGTGCCTCTGGGTTCTGTGCTAGGCCCCATGCTATTCAACCTGTTTATTAACGATATTGGGGAGGGCGTGAATAGCCATGTTTCAGTGTTTGCTGATGATACCAAAATCGGGAGGGTAATGGACACGGACTCAGACACCATAACATTACAGGAGGACTGGGATAAAATGGAGTGGGCAACTATATGGCAGATGAGGTTTAATGTCGATAAATGTAAAGTAATGCACTTTGGGGTTAGAAATAGGCAAGTGGGCTACACAATAATGGGAACGCCACTAGGGAAGTCAGAAATGGAAAATTATTTGGGGGTCATTGTAGACCGCAGATTGAATAATAGCATTCAGTGCCAGGCTGCTGTAAACAAAACAAGTAGAGTCCTGTCTTGTATTAAGAAGGGGATGTACTATAGAGACAAGTCTATAATTGTGCCACTTTACAGATCACTGGTTCAACCTCATCTAGAGTATGCGGTCCAGTTTTGGTCAGCAATCCACAGAAAGGATGTCCTTGACCTGGAAAGAGTCCAGAGGAGTGCAACCAAACTAATTAAGGGGATGGAGGACCAAAGCTATGAGACAAGGCTACTAAATTTAAATATGTTCATGCTATAAGGAGATTAAGGAGGGACATGATTTTCATGTACTAGATTTTCAATGGTAATAGTAACATCAGCAACAAACTCCTTTTACGGTTAACTCCATAACAAAGACTAGAGGCCAACACCTAAAGTTGGCGGAGAAAAAATTTCAGCACAAGGGGCGAAGGGGCTTCTTCTCAGAGCGGTTAGGGTCTGGAACTCGCTGCCACATGCAATGATTTCAGCTAAGAGTGTTGAATCATTCAAAAAGCTTTTGGACGATTTCCTTAGAGACCATAACACACAGGGGTACAGGTACACCTAGAGATATTGAAATGAGAAGCCAGTGCTTGCTTACAGGGTCCATCTGGGTTTACGGAGAGGGAATCTTTTTAACCTGTAGGAAGCAGTGTCCAAGAGACCTAACTACATACAATGGAGGGACAGAAGGAAAACATCCTGGATAAGGTGAAAAGCCGAAACTACTTCAGGCAAGAAGGAAATCCTGGGCCTCATTACCTCCTGGTTCCTATACAGAACCAAAAAGGTTCCTTGCAAGATTAGGCTGCCAGTTCAGATACTTGCCTCGCAGAGACTACAAGAAAGACCCCCTTCTGGGAGAAAATAGACTGTCTCTAATCAGTTCAAATGGCAGTTTCTGAAGCGCAGAAAGAACCAGATTCAAATCTGACAGAGTTGCGAGGGAAAGCTGGGGGGAGACCCCCTGTACAAAGCTCTTAAAGTGACACGAAACTCAGGAGTTACATCTTAAAAATGCATTCAAGCACCTTAACTAATACCAAGAATGTAGCTTATTTGTCCATCACTCGGCTGTAGATCCTCAAATAATTTCTGAATTCATGCTGACACTGTACTTCCTTCTGGAGGGTGGCTACTTTCGTTCCCTATTGGTCCCTATGTGTATTGTAAAGTAGCCACCACTCAGTTTTGTCCCATGATGGACTACAATCTCACGTTTATTTTACTAATTTTGTATTGAGATTGTAGTCCACCACAGGAGCAAGCTTGGTGCAGTGGCTACTTTACAACACACACAAGGACCATAGGGAACAAAAGTAGCCACTCTTTGAGGATCTACAGCTGAGTGATGCACAAACAAGCTACATTTTTGTTAATAGGTAAGGTACTTGAATGCATTTTAAAGGTTTGATTCCTGGGTTCCTCTTCAAGCTCACTTCCCTGATAGACTATTTCAATACAAATTGGTAAACTAAACGTGAGATTTTAGTCTATCGTGGGAGCAAGCTTGGAGCTTTGGCTACTTTACACACATAAGAACCATGGGGAACAAAAGTATCCACCCTCCAGAAGGAAGGACAGTGTCAACACAAATTCAGAGATGATTTGAGGATCTACAGCTGAATGATGGACAAATAAGATGCATTTAAGATTTAACTTGTGAGTTTAGTGTCTCTTTAAGAGTGAAACAGAACAGAAAGGAAAGAATCCTGACCCTTGATGGTGTGAAGAGCCAGAGGCTGGTCCAGACCCAGCTGGAAGAATTCTCACAGTGAAACTCCTGGGCTGGAAACCTCCAAAAACTCACACAAGGTATGCCTTCCATGTCAAATGATGGATAGTAGACCTAGCTTTTAGAATTTTAGGAATCAAAGACTCAGAGCTGGCCCCTGTCCCTCAGAACCTGGACTTCAACAGTCATGGTTATTAAAGCCAGAGGCTGTAAAGCAGATTGGCAAACTGGTCCTTGGGGCAGTAGATTCTGATGATCCAGGACAACCCATGCAGCATCTGCCAGGAGTCTTACCAGGTTGGCATACTACATCTACCTGGACCAGTTTGGAGCAATGAGGATTACTGGAATGCCCTTCATTTCGATCATACTAAGCAGATGAGGAGCAATCTGTCCTGAGAATGAAACTATCAGAGGATAATATGATTCTAGGCTGCAGATGTTGGCATTGTCGGAAGGAGTGCTACACACAGCCTCAGAATTATTAGCGGAATGTGAGGTGGGGGCACCCGGAAGAGTTGGAAAAAGCCAGGCTAAGTACGGCCCTGCAGGATTGCTGCAAATGAAGAGATGAAGTTCCAGCTGCGAAGCAAAGAAGAATCTTTAAAGAAGAAAATAATTGTGCTGGCCAAAAAATTAAATAGTCCGCACACTGTAGAAAAGACGTCTATCCTAGGGCACTAGCCAAAAAAAAACTTGAGGCATGCGAGAGGGGTTATCCTAGGCAGGCCTACAATTTGTTTTGTTTGCCAGTGTCCAATCCTTCTGTAGGCGGAAGAATAACCCCAAGATTAATGACTTGCTTTGTCCCTTAATTGATGGGAGATTGGTTTTAAAATGGGTCTTCAAAAATATTTTTTCTTCATGTCGCCTTTGCCAATGTATCCAACACATAAAAATCAGAGTATTCTACATAATTAAAAGTAACACAGGGTGACTAATGCAGTCAAGAATATACATGTATACAGCTTAGAAAGTGTATGAAGCCAATTGCACACCAAGCACACTGCTAATGTGTCAGATGTCAGTCTGTATATACTATTACTTAAATGGCAGGTTTGGCACTGAAAAAAATCCTGGATTATAAAATACACACATATACAACTTGAATAAAACACGCTTTTCATACTTGTGGGTTGAGAGAAATGTCTAATATTCAAACCAGTTTTAATATTGAGCTTTTTACCCTTTTGTGACATTAGGTACTGTATTGAGAGAGTCTTTAGGCCACGGAAACTTAACCGCTGTCACCCAAAGGAACTTACTGAATGTGCATTTGATGTGATTACCTCATCTGTGAACAGCTATCTGCCTATTGCAGAGACCATCTACACAATATATGAGATAATTCAGGAATTTCCAGTGTTACAGGTATGGTTCTCATTCTGGGAGCAGAAAACAGTATTGAGTGATGAGAAACATGAAGCTTAAAACGGAACAGTACAATGCAAGGTCCGTAAATAATGTCCAGGTTGCCACCCTGTAAAGATCACCTGCTAAGCGTATGTGCAAAAAATACCTATAAAGAGAAAGGTTAGAATTAGACTTGCCTTACACCTATCTTCCACTTTGCTGCACGTGACCTCACTATCCTTCCTGTAAGATTCCTGAGGAAAGCAGAGCAGACCAATACTTTTGAGAAGACAGTTCAAGTCCATTGCAAGAGCAACTTCTGAGTTTTGGGCTGCTCTGTATTCCCCCAGATCTCTCGAGAATGAGCATGACATTACAGTATAATAATTATAATGTCTAACATTTTTTTCTTTACAGGTGTATTTTGCTCACACCTTCAGCATGTGTTTTTTACAAGTTGAGAAGCAAAGATCTGCTTTAAAGGCTAAGTTTAACTTTCCTACCATGTTTCACCCATATTTTGGGTGTAACAAGAAACATGGTCAAATCGCCAGCCCACCACCCCCATCCTGTCCCTTACTTACCTGAAACACGTGGTTTTTCTCCCTGAAGGTTGCTGACAGTTTTTGAATCTGTCACAGCTGTGCTTGACTTTGCCTACACAGCTTCGTCATCCATTCACAGATACTTTGACACGATTTGTGAGAACCTACAAATCCTGTCTGCCACTGCGCAGAGGGACTTGTAGTTTCCAATGAGATACAAGTGCAGTGACATTGTCACACTTGTAGTCTATTCATTCTCCTACCCCATAACTTAAGTCATTGCCTTGTTATGGACATGGACGGGAGGAAGAATCTGCAAGAGCCAAAGCGTTGCACCTGCAATCTACTGATTTGCGATTGCTATGCTTTACTGCCTCCAATGCAAAAAAAATTATAAATTAATTTTTTTTATTCTATGAATGCATTTTTTTTTTTAAAATGTGTACTTTGCCCTTAACCAAACAAATTCCAAAACTCTTGAAATGTATCTCTTTAAGCTGGTTAAATTCACTATGCCTCAGTAACCCAGCTTTCTTTAAAATCTTGGCTCTTGTGTTAGTTCGATCTTAACTTTCCTTTTTTGAAGTTCATATGAAACAGCTGATATAGAATTATTTTACAAATGCCATTAATTGTACACTTCAAAGCTTTTTTTATTATGGTATTCTGTTTCTAGAGTCTATGTTCCTTTAACATTTATTAGAATCTGTAAAGCATTAATACTCATTGGGATTAATTCCATTACTTACCACCTCTCATTGATGTCATTGGGACTTTCGCAGTACATATCAAATGCTTTGCTACCCATGTAATAGGCACTTTGATATAGGCAGTGGTTGATTGCTGTATGTAGATACTGTACATAGAATAATGTACAGTATTCAGGTTTTTGGAAGAAAAACATTCTAGCATAATGTATATGGGAACTGCTTGTATTTATAGACCTTTTTATACAACCCTGTTTTGGAAAAATCCCAGACCTTATTTTGACCGTTTACACATAAGCTGTATGGAGGCTGAAACATAGGGTCATTATAGTCTCTGGCTGGGTGAGGGTTGTACTTCGCCTTAAGCTTTACCATGCCTATGCATGGGACATTGAAGCTAAAGTCATACTGAGGCTCTACTTATGACTAAAATATCCATTAAGTGGACAGACCCTTTAGATCTCCAGATTTGCGGGCCCCAGCAACTACATTTTTAAGTTATTTTATCAGCCATAAAGTGCAGTCATAACCTATACATGTACAGTCCTTACAGCCATTTGGTGGTTTAACCACTTGCTGACCGGGGTGTTTACACCCCCTTCCTGTCCAGGTCATTTTTCAGTATTCAGAGCTACGGTACTTTGACTGACTTTTATTCCGTCATGCAACGCTGTACTGAAATTAATTTTATACAATTTTTTGGGGACAGATAAAGATTTCTTTTTGTGGTATTTAATCACCACTGGGGTTTTTATTTTTTACTATATAACAAAAAAAAGCACCGAATATTTTTTTTAGAAATGGTTTTCTCTTTTATTATTTTAGGAAACAATTATTTTTACCCAATTTTTTGGTAAAACACAAAAGACGGGGTCACGTCGGGTAAATAGACACCATAGACACCAAACTTAAAATTGCGCGCACCGCAAAATCGCAAAAAAACACCATAGCCAAAATTAGGCGACGCTTTAAAAGATTTTACCGCTCCTCAGTTTAGTGTTATCAGTGATTTGGTGGCCCGATAATTATTGCTCTCATTGCGACGTTTGCGGCAATATGTAACACGTGCAGCATAATTAGAGCAATCGTCGTTTTTGCGTGTAGGCGCACCTAACGCATTTTTGCGCATTATGTGGGGGTGGGGGACTTTTAAAACATTTGTTTTTTTTAGTTTTGTGTAAAGTTTTATTTATTTTGTGAGCAATTTTTTTTAACTTTTTTTTTTTACACTTAACGTTAAAGTTATTTACATAGGGTGCTATGTCTCCTATGTAATAACAAATTACAGTGACAGGTCCCCTTTATGGAGACATCAGGGGTCTCTAAGACCCCCTAATGTCACCTAGGGACCCCCAGAGAAGCTGATGAAGCACAGATCTGCTTCATCTGCTTCTCTCCGGTTTCTGTACCGGAGAGTGACAGAGAAATGCGGAAGTGATGTAATAGACATCACTTCCTGCATTTAGAGACCGGGAGGAGAGCGGAGGGAGATCGGGTGCTGTTCTCCCTCCGTTCTCAGTGCACAGAGCCACATCGCCCGGGATGGATGGACGCCCGGGATCCCGGGGACGGCGACGAGAGGTAAGGAGGGGCGCGCACCCTCGCTTGCATCATACAAGCGATTGGATGTCGGGTTTCTCATAGGGATGAACCAATATATCGGCCACCGAAACATATCGGCCGAAAATTGCACTTTTGGCAAAATGCTTAAAGTGCAATTTTTTTTGTCCGAAATAGCGGTGCATGCTTAGTTTGTCTCCTCCCCGCTGGGCGCTGTTCTGTGTGCCAGCGGGCAGGGGACAAACTGCCACAGGAGGCTGAGCGGTGCAGGAGGAAGGAGAGCGCTGTGAGCGTCCAGATTGAGAGGGCGGCGGTGTGCGGAGAGACGGCTCTCAATGCTGTCACAAGTGGCCGGCGGTGTGGGGGAGGAGTCAGCTGTTCTCCTCACCGCTCTGCTCGCTCGGCCTCCTGTGACAGCGTGTCAGGATGGAGAGTGGGTACAAGTAGTCAGTGATAGCTGAGTGTTTGTAAATAATTGAGGACATAATAGGTTTACTTTGTCCTCAATTATGAATGAATGGGAGTGATCTACATAACTTCTTGTTCATTCATGATTGTGGATATAGTAAATATACTCTGTCCTCAAGTTATGAATGAACAGAAACACTCAGAAAAGAGGATTCCTGTTCATTTAGAACTGGGGCTGCAGAAAAAGAGGGAGGACTCCGTGTCCTCAATCTCTTTTTCCAGTTGTCTTGCAGGCCAGCCCAAGAGAGTGTGTAACTCCTCCAAACAGGAAACGTGTCACCATACCAACTTAAAAGGCCCCCTGATACTATCCCTCTTCAGTTATTATGTTTCCTCCGTCGGGGGGAGATCGTTACCATGTGGAGCTCTCATGGACTGTGCTGAAAGTGCAGTGAAGGTGGACTGGGCCCCCGGTACCTCTCCTAATGCTCCTATGCGCAGGCGTTGGGCCAGGCTCCACTTCCCTCTTGGTGCTTGGAGAAAGCCAGGACTGGAGGTAGCTTGTCTCCCTTGGCGTGCTCGCAGGAAGCAGTTCACCGGCTTCTGCACGCTAGACTAAGCGACGGGTGATGTAATTTCCGACGGAGATGCGCAACTTCCGGGCGCCGAAGACTTGCGATCCAAGCCTCTGTTTTGGCACGGGGGAAGAGGAGGGCAGCATTTCATACAGCCGACATCACAGAATAGTCTGTGAAAGCCGGATCGAACAGTGCGACTATGGAGGGATCAGATGCTAAAGGCTAAAGCCTGATGAAGGGACCCTGCGCGGTCCCGAAAGCGCTTGTTTGGTCATATGACAAAAAACTTCAATAAATGAAGCTTTTGCTATCTTAAAAGGATTGGTGTGCTGTTGACATTTCTACAATTTTGCTGACATTCGCGGCTCCATCCGCGGTCACTGCGAGCACCCCCCACTTCAAGAGACATATCGGTAAGGAGTGCAACAAGGATAGTACTTATGGAGGGATCAGAGTCGCAAGCGCTGGTGGAGGCAGCCATTTCAAATGCCGCTCTCACCCAGGTAAAAGACTCTCTTTTTGAATTGTATAGTCTGCACCTGGGTTTGCGTTTTCTGCCTTGTAACTGAGGGTTAGGTGAATGTACCTTTGCTGTGGCGTACACGGGTGGTCTCTGTTATCCTGGTACTGCTTTTTAGTTGTACTTAAAAAGGCCCTGTTTTTCCTTTTTTGTAGGTGAAGCCTCCTGTCCAGGTTAGGAATACACCTAGGAAAAAGTGTGCAGTGTGTGCGGCAAAACTCATTGCTTCCTTTGAAAAACACTTGTGTCAATCTTGCTTGGACAGCCTTTTTAAAAAGAATCTGTGACTGCTTGTAAGGGTCTTCTGGATTCAGTGAAAGAGGAATTGGCTACAACTTTTCATTCATTTAGATCTCTTAATGATATGAAATCATCTGAGACCTCTCGGGTGCAAAATGCTCCTATCAGTGCCATAATTGTGGAAGATGGGGCGGATTGCATTAGGCCTCCAGCAAGTGAAGACCGATCAGATTCAGATCATTTTTGTAATGCTTCCTCTGAAGATGGCGGTGTGCAGGAAGAATCTACTCCATCCAGATTTAAGCTGTTGAAAGATGATTTGGAAGACCTGCTTAAAGGCATCTATGAAACTTTGGATATACAAGAGGATAAGATAGAATTATCGAGACATGATCTGTACAAAGGCTTACAAACAAGAAAAAAAAGGGTCTTCCCTGTTCATAAAGTGTTGTCTGATTCT